AGGTTCTGCAGGGGGTGGTATTGGAGCCCTTGAACCCTCGATGTCAACCCGTCAACATCGATGGTGGCGGCGGGGACGTGGAGACGAAGAAGAAGAAGAAGAAGAAATGTAGACAGATTTAACCTTCTTATGTTTTTGACGTTGATCCATCGACGAGGAAGAAGACGAGTTGGAGAAGCTATAGTGACGTTGACATCGATGCTGATGACGGACCCTTGGTCTATAGGAGTCTTCCGAATTTGAAGACCTGTGTCGACGTTGGTGTTTAGATCAACGTCAAGTCGAAGAGCGGTGTTTCCTCTTCGACGAGCGCTTTTTCGAGGGGATTTCAATCTCGAACGCGGTGACGAGACCGAGGGAGCCAAAGACCCCTGCCCAAGAGGCATTGGGTTATGCGGGGCAGAAGTCAAGCCTGCAGTAGCTCCAGCAAGCTGACTCAGTGTCGGAGATGAGACGCCTGCCGGTAGAGAAGGCTCAACTTGTCGAGGAGGGAGCGATGGGGCTGCCTCCAACAAGGATTCATGGTCTCTCGACGAATCCTCCAAAATAGGCGAAGGTAGAGACTCAGAAATAGGTGGAAGCTGGTTCCTTGGTTTTAATGGGAGCTTTCCCCTTTGCTTGTTTTCCAGGTTTCGCTGCAGCAGCAGAAGATTTCAACGTCAAAGCGGATTTCTTTGAAGACGTCGCTTTTTTAGAAGGTTCTGTGACCCTGGAGACAACCGATTGCATGGCAGTTCCAGATTCAGACCGAGGGGTGGCCGAAAGTGAGGCAATTTCCAGGTCAGAAGGCTTGGTAGAAGCCAAAGTAGATTCCCACAGGTGGTACTTAAGATGCTGTTGCCTGGCTTTCAATGCAGCTTTAGTGAAGGCTTTGCAATGACTACAAGACTTAGCGATATGCGATTCGCCTAAACAGAAAAGGCAACGATCATGCCCGTCTTGGTGGGGAATCTTCCTAGAGCACACAACACAATGGCTAAAGGGCCCTGAGGGGGACATAAAAGCTGAAAGTCTCACTAGTAGCCGTTATAAGGCAGGGGAAAAGGCGGGAAAATCCGAAGCAGCCAAAATTGAAGGGAAAATCCAATCGGAGTAGAGCCAGAGAACAGTCCGCGTCAGGGAAGGGAGCAGTTCACAAAGTCCGTTCAATTGAAAGTAAAAAAGCCAGAGAATCAGTCGAAATAGTGAAAATATACAGAGCTCGAAGCGAGAGGTTCCAAATCGCTAGGCGGAAAAATGGAACTGAGGCTTGGGCGGGCGGAGCATGCTCAGTACAGGCAACCTTAAACTTTGTTACTTTTCTCTTAAAGCACGAGAATGTTCTGAGAGGACCAACGCTGGTGCTGGGTTAACCCTTTTGTGTGCATTCACAGAAGACCACAATGAAGAAGGAATGTTACCCTTGCAACTTTACTAACATCTCTTTTAGTTGAACAGTGAGAACTATTGTTTTCCACCTATTTTGGACTGCAGTTCTCAGAATCCCTTTCTACTGGCCAGCAGGATAGTGGTGGAGAGTACAGGCACCCATCAGGACCATCCCCATAGCCATCCCATCCTCCAGGAGAGTTCAAAAAGGCAGGCATATGGCTTGGTCCTCATCAACAGAGGAGCCATCAACAGAGGAGCAGCAGATGTGTTGTAAAGTTAATTTCGTTAATTTTCATTTCGCATTCATCACTTTAAAATACTTTGCATTACAGCAAAATAGGGACAGGAGGAGCAGCAGATGTGTTGTAAAGTTAATGGCTTTTTATTACGCATTCATCACTTTAAAATACCTTGCATTACAGCAAAATAGGGACAACTTTCGACAAAACTATATAGTGTTCCTGGAAAAACATACTTCCCTCCTAGCTATTGGGAGAATTTCAGATATGGCCACAAAGAAACAGGAAATCTTGGAAAGAGATGGATAACATCACAATCCTTGCTAATCAAAAGGACCCAAGGTTTTAAGAGCCAGTAGCTCCACTACCACTATGCCACTGTTTATGCCAGGCTAGCTGGGGTTTCTGAGGGTTGAAGTCCAAAGTTTGTGGTGGACAAAGATCCCCCATCCCTGCTTTAAACAAAATGGTAAGTAGGGACCTCCTTAAAGAGATGAACATTTAGAGAAGAGACCTGGAATGTCTGTGCAGAGGGGGCAGGTTTCACACCCACCTGTGTGACATGAGACCTGACACATGATCTGTCCATCCCTATTTAATTAAGAAGCAATAATACACCCTACTTTAAAAAAAGAAGTCAACAGGTGGGTGTTTAAGACATAAAGTAAGACAAACTGCATCATCATACAGTAATCCAATTCAGGTTCTAAATAAAAGACATAAGCAACATTCTAGTACTCCAGGCACGTAAGTCATAGTTTTCAAAGTTGTAGCCGTGTTAGTCTGTGCAAAGATCCATCTGCCATGGATTTTTGGGACTCACACTAATGGCAAGACATTGACTGGTGCAAGCCTGAGGAAGTGGGCATCCTGATCCATGAAAGCTAGCAGATTGTATGGTTTCTTTACTGGTGTACTATAAAGTTATCACATACTCCTGCATTTGTATCGATGATGTCTGTTTACTATTAAGAGGAGGTGGGTGGGAAAGGAGGCCTCAATATATCTTAGGCCAGGCCAGCCTGCTGCTGTGGTGCCAGTTTGCTGGCCTTAAACTTCACTAATGTTGTCCTACAGTTCAGACTCCTTCCCACCCTGATGGATCCCTCTACTCTCTGAAGTGTCCTTCTTAGGCTGCCAGCTATACAGGCCCAAAGGCAGCTGACTCCTGGATGCTGATGCAAATGGATGGAAGAGGGGTGAGGCAACCAAAGGGCCAGTGCAGGAAAGGCAATGGGGCTGGAGACAGGATGCTTTTTGCTGCAGGGCAGAGCTTTGCTCAAAAGTGACAGGAAGACAGCTGAGATTCATACATCTCAGACTTTTGTTTCTGCTTCTCTGGCCTTGGAAAGCCAGCTGGAAGAAGGAAGCCCACTGGCTTTCCAGGGGAGGCTTAAACTGTTGAGCCTGTGAGCTCATTTCGTGGGGAATGTCTCTCTTGCTGCCAACAGGGGCTCTGCAGCCACACCCAAGGCCCTTGCTGTTGTTTCCATGGCGATGAGATGCAAAAACACCATGCGGGGAGGGGGGGAGAAAGCAAAGGAACTTCGTTTTGGACATACACACAGGGAAAAGATTACAAGGTGGCCACTTCTTTCTCCTGCCAGGGCTCCTGGGCCCAAGACAAAAATTCAGCAGGACAGTCTTTCCCTTAACTCTGTACCTCTACATCAAGGAAAGGTGCACTTCTTCCATTTCTGCCTGTGAGGCATCACATAAAGGAGAAGGGTGGGTCCCTAACCACTGAACATATGAACACGAGCTGATGGGAAATGGAGTCCAGTGACATCTGGCAGGCCATTGTTTTGTCATCCTTTGTGAAGACAGGTGGGCTGATGACATTGGGGGGGGGAGAGAATTCAATGGCAGACTACATCAGAGAGTTATTCTTGTGAGATTAAATAGTGTGTAGAATAGACATGGGCACTTCATATTTGTTTCCCTGGAACACAGTTTCCTGCCTCTCCTTGTTTCTAGCCAAATTAGAATACATTCTGCAAAGGAGGAGGGGGAAGAAGGGGAAGCAAGGTTTTGCAAATTTGTCCTATTTTCACAGAATCCAGCTTTTCCAAATAAGGAATCTGAAGTGCCTGGGTAGAGAATCTGGGTCTTCTCTTTTTGCATTAATGATAATGTTCAGGAATTTATTTTCAATCATGCTTCTGCTCTGCCTAGCCATGCTTAGTGTAAGTAGCACCATAATGTATCACCTTGCCATGTTAGATATTAAGAAACTTATAAGCCCTGACCCTTACTCACATAATGAAAGGCATGTGTTGAATGTATAGTTAAAAGAATTAAGGAAAACATGAATGGGGTGACACAGGAAAGGTTAGAGATGAGACAGCAAAGAGAGACACCTAAGCATAAGACAGAGGGCAGAAGTCAGCTATACCAGCCAGATGAGGAATGCAGATAAGATTAGTGGCACATGACTAGTAGGATACATAAATGCTAATGCACATCTGTAAACCATGAGACGCATTGTTTGGGTGTTGACCCATGAATACTCCTTATTCTGCAGAATAAATAATTAAATAAGTCCATTTGTAGTGGGTGATCTCGCTTTCTCCCACCTTGTAGGTAAATGGAATTGGCCTACCAAGATGTTCGAACTGTTAATTTTGGCATCAGTAACATGGCTCCGGCTATCACAGGCTAGAACAAATCGTTCAGAAACTATCTTTCGCTCTTAATGGCATGTTAATACTAGGTTGGTGGTGCTCTTCTTCTCTGTAAAGGTAAAGGTTCCCCTTGACAATTTGTCCAGTCATGTTCGACTCTAGGGAGCGGTGCTCATCTCAGTTTCCAACCCATAGAGCTAGCATTTGTCCAAAGACAATCTTCAGTAGTCATATGGCCAGTGCGACTAGACACGGAACACCATTACCTTCCCCCCAAAGGGTACCTGTTAATCTACTCACATTTTGCATTTTGCATGTTTTCGAACCGCTAGGTTGGCGGGAGCTGGGACAAGCAACGGGGGCTCACTCCGTTTAACCTTGTCCTAATTTTCATCTTTATGTTCCCATATGAACCTGGAACCCTCAGGGAGAAAATGCAACTTGGATCTGTGTAGGGAGCTCAGCAGAGACCAGGGTATTGGGTGCCAGAGCATCCCTGTTAAAAACCACGTGCCTTCAAGAGCATGTTGTAAGCAAGGAGGAGGTGGGGTTGAACCAAGAGCTACGGAGTAATAGGCATTTTGTCCCTAATCACATCCTCAACAGAGCCTGTCCAGTATTACCCGAAGGCTTACTCCACTCATGTTTTCCCCTCCTCGCTGGAATTGTCAGGTACTGCCGTTAGCAACTCATGGTGACCCTCTGAATTAAGAACTTCCAAAAGATCCTATCATTCATTCAACACACATAGACACACACACAATACCTTTGTTGTGGGCCTCGAGTTGAGACAACGAATTGACGGCCACTTTGCAGAGTGCACAGTATAACAGCTTCTTGGCCTTCTCTTCGTCAGGTTTGGTGCTTCCGTTGCTTTGGGGAGTTGCCCCTGAAGTGGCTGGTGGTGGTGGTGCCGCCGCCGCTGCCACCCCTGTGGAGATCTCTCCCACTTTGGTCCCCCAGGCTGGCCCACTCTTGGAGCTCTGGCTAACCTCCGGGCAGAGGGTGGAGTGGGGTGCTGGAGCTGCTGCTGGGGGCGCCAGGCAGGGCTGCTTCTCTGGAGAGGAAGGAGCTGGCACAGAGGGCACTGTTGCCAAATTCCCCAGGCCATTCAGCTGCTCAGCTGCACGAGGAAAAAAGAGGGGAGACGTGAGGGCGGAGGTCAGCTGTGGATAAGCGACACACAAACCCTACAGCAATGCTTAATTTAAGAAATGAGAAGGAGTGAAGCTCAAAGTTGGGGCTGGTTTCAACTAATGCTCACGGAAGATTTACAACAAGACTTTCTGTTCAGCTTCAGCAAGAGTGGGGAACTTTCCAGAAGCTGAATAACTATTCCCAAAAGTCCTTGTGACTGGCACAATTAGCTGAGGGAAGCTGCCGTCAGGTAACACCTGTAGGGCCAAATGTTCAACACTCTTTTTCTACACCCCCTCTTAGTTTGGAGACTAACCATTTGCTGCAAGTTGGCCTGTAAGGCATCCGTAGAGACATCTTCTGTCCACCACAGACCTGTCTTCTGTCTGTGACACTCACAGCATCCTCATGCCTTGATTGGCAGGGGCGCTCTCTATAGACCTGCCAAACTGGGTCAAAACCAAAGGGCTACTATAGTATTTTACATTCAGCATAGCCAGCCAGTTGCCCCAGGATTTTTTACAAGCAGGACAAGATGCTGACCTACAAAATGGCCCACACATGCATGTAGACAGAACTAGGTTGCTTCACTCTGTGGGGGTAGGATTCTAAGTTTTATCTTATCTAACCATTTTTGACTTTAAAACCCTATAAAATGCCCCCTCCAAGCACCTAGACACAACAAATTCACAAGGAAGCTTCCCCTGGGCTGCCTTCCATGGCTGACGAGCCCCATGGCTCAGTAACATACAGTACATACAGAACTAGGTTGCTTCACTCTGTGGGGGTAGGATTCTAAGTTTTATCTTATCTAACCATTTTTTACTTTAAAACCCTATAAAATGCCCCCTCCAAGCATGTAGAGACAACAAATTCACAAGGAAACTTCCCCTGATTTCCCCCCATAAGCCGTGGCCGTTTGGGGAAGTTAGGGTTTCAGGTGCTCGAGTTACATACCCACGAAGGCCCACCCAGGAAAGTTCCCCCCAGGCACCTAGAGACACTAAAATCACAGAGAAGCTTCCCCTGACTCTCCTCTATAATCCTTCCAGGTTTGGTGGAGACTGGGTTTCAGAGACCCAAGTTATACATCCACAAAGTGGATCATCTGAGGGAAGTGCCTTTTAGCAGCTGGCCCAGGGAAACCCAATCTCCATCAAATTTGGAAGGATTGTAAAGGAGAGTCATGGGTAGCTTTCCTGAATTTTTGGTATATCTAGGTGCCTTTAGGGCTGTTTTATAGCCAAATGAATTGACGAATCAAAAATTACTAAAAATGCATTGATTCGTGATTTGTAAGGGACACTGATTTGTACAAACGCAAATTGATGAATTAGTGGTTTTTTAAAACAAATTTGGTGATTTTTTAAAAACAATTGTGCCAATCTCTACTGCTGATGTAATGGATAGAGCCACAAACATTGACTTAGGAGACCTTGGTTCAAATCCTCTCTCCGCTATGGAAATTCACTGGGGAGTGAGGGTGTTAAAATGACATCTTATATATATCTCACATACGTTGGAAACCTCATTAGGGTTGCCATAAGTTAGATGCAATTTTATGGCAGAATAACACGAAGTTACCGGTGATCACAATGTCATTCCACAGTGAGTTCTATAGAGCACTGGTTCCCAACCTTAGGCTGCCTGCAACTCCTAGAAATCCTGGCCAGTGCAGCTAGTGGTGAAGACTTTTGGGAGCTGTAGTCCAAGAACATCTGGGAAACAAGGTTGCAAACCACTGCTAGAGGGCATTTATTAATTGCCATACATGCTCAGTAACATACATGGAAAAAAAACAATACAAAGAATATATTAATAAGGAAGGTGCAACCTTTGGCTTTCCATATTTTCTCCCTACCTTTTACCACACTCACACAGCATAGTTAATGCTACTGGATTTTTGGATAGTAGTCTAAAACATCTAGATGGCTAAAGACTTCTTATCCCACTGTATGTGGATACATGATCCAGTTATGTCTTGCCACCAATAACTGTTTCAAGAGACCCATACCTGGTCACCCTGCCCTTCTATACCTCCAATATGTACAAATGGAGCCCAGAAGTGTCTTGCTACTCTCTTGAGAATGCAGAGTCCACAGGAGCCTAACTGAGATATTCTACACGGAAAACTGATCCCCTTCACAGAAACAGTTGTTTTTGTATTCTCTTCCATCCACAAAATGGGCAGTCTTGAAAAAATGAGGTAGTAAGAGAAAGAAAACTGTTGCTTCAAGCAAGAGATGCCAGTAATAATGCATAAAGAAGTCACTAGGTATATTTCAGAGCGGAGTACTGACATTCAGAACAGGTTCCAGAGTTCAGCCCTAGTTTATAGTTAAACCTTTCCTGTGGCAAGAGTATACAGTAGAAGCCTTTTCTCTTTATGAAAACTAGACAAGCAAGACAATGCCTGTTAAAATGCTGATTCGTTTTTTTAAAATGTAAATGCCACACCTAGAAGATCTCAGTTCTATACACAGAACATACTTGCCTACATATTAACATGCATTAGCATGACATAATTTATTCTGTTGACAGGAATGAGTATTAAAATACTTTTATCAAGCAAATTTGAATGCAAGTTTTGGAAAAAATAATGAATAACAGAAATGAGCTAAAACTACTGAACCATTAGAAGGAAACAATTTGCTTTTCTCCCTCCCACATTTCCTAAATTATATCCTGTCGATGTAAAATATCAGAAGTCAAAACAACTTTAAAAAATAAATATAAAACAGATTTGCTCTTAAAAGACAGTCCTACTGATCAAATTTGGCTTGATATATAATAGGGGAAATCCTGTTGCCATAAATTTGTGCCAGTGTAACCTACCTGGATGGCGTGCCAGAAACATCTAGTTTCCTCTCTCCCACTTTCAGATTCTTAGGCTCCCTTTTTGCCCTGAGGACACCCTTTGGGAACCTTGGAATTGGGGAAGAGGGAGCCTTTAATAATAAAATAAATAAAAAATTACCACTAGATTGCCAGCAGGAGTCTCAATCCCAGGAGCACCAGTTCTGTGGCCACTTTTCACTCTTAAATGCCTCCCCCACTTCCCGCCTGTATCTACAGGCTCCCAAAGACTGCCCCAGGGCAATAGAGAGCCTCAGAACCTGAAAGGGAGAGACGGAAAACTTTCCATGGGTTTAAATTAAATGATTCCAGTGACTGTTCCAGGTTATGCCAGCACTGAGTTATGCAACAGGACTTTGCCCACTGTACTAATCAACTGGAATTGATTGGTCAATTAATTTAGTGATTAAATAAACAGATGCATATATCCACAAAAAATATAAGACAGAAATGGAAACATGGAAAGTTCCAATTACACACTCACAGGGTGTGTGTGTGGAGATTATTTAAAATTGATTTTATGGATTTTGGTCGGAAATCCTACCTAGACCTTGTTCAAGCAATTTTGGGAACACATTTGACCCCAATTCCACAGGTTTGGATGGTGAATCTATGAATGCATGGAGCACCATAAAAGCGGGAATGCAGACTGCCCAGAATATAAGATGTAGAAGCAGATCTTGTTCACAAAGTACCTGGAAATGGGAGATGACATTCAGGCGGGCAGTTCCCCACAGGACATCTTCCTGGATCCTTCTGAATATTAACTGGATAGTATTTACAGAAGCTACAAAAAGGCTAATTTGGCAGTGACATTAATGATCAACAGCCAGGAAAGCCTTTGAATAGTCTCATTTAGCAGTTCTCAAAAATTTGGTCTCCCTAGGGAGAGGTGGACAGTTCCCTAATCTTCCTGATCCCCATTGGAATGCATGTTCAAGATCACTTCACTGAGATTAGTTACCTTGAAAAAAAACATATTAAGCACTCTAGCATAATCACCAGCAGGGACTTTTATCAGTCTTTGAACAGATTCTACTTTGCTTTAGCCAGATATGGACAGAAGCAGGGCTTGCTAGTTTGTGCACATGAATAATCTGGGGAGTTCAAGGAGACAATATGGTGCCTTGGGCCTCATTTGGCCGAAGCGACAGTGTCCACGCAGCCCCTTCTCCTTCCAAGCCAGTGGATTACCGAGTGATAATGACATTGGCAATGCTAGGTTTTCAAATTCTGGAAGTGCTGGAACTGTCTGTGACAAATGAAGCTGGCACCAAAGACACGGAGAGCAAAAATATGCCAAATAGGCATGCCGGGGATGAAAAATGAAGAGGTTCAAAGTGTCTACTGACAGCAGAAAACACCCTATTTGCATTATAATACATTATTTATTGTTAGCTTTGACTCCCTTTGAGAAAAGTGGGGCATAAGCATTTTCTAAATATATATATTTGAGCCACCACATCGCGTTACCCAATTTTTTCCACTTTATTTTTTTTTAAGGGAAGAAAACAGGTGTCAAAGAAGTATGTAAACTACTGTTAGTGTGTTATCTCCTGGTGCCATGTTAAATATTTTCCATTCTCAGGGACTGGGATGCAGGCAAAAGCAGTGCTAGAAGGAGACACAAACTATTTCACCAACGGCGCCGCCTCCATCGTTGATAATGTTTGTTTTTGATCCTGTTAGTTCACCGCCCAAATTTTTTCCTTGATGGAGTCTGAGGCCATTGTTGGCAATGTTTTGACTTCGATGGACCCTGGGGAGCACCCTCAAGGGTCATGGCATGTCTCGCAGAGCCCAGATGTTTAGCTCTAGAACGTTCTGACAAGGTTTTGCGCAGGCGTTGAAACATCCATATGTGTGATTCATAGAAACCACAAAGAAGAAATATAATTATGTCATGGCATTGCAAGGAGATGGTGTCACTCGGGAAAATCAAATCCAAGTGCACAGCTTAGTGATCTAGCCAAAGGGCAAACTGATTGCCCCTCACTGAATACTCTCTGTAGCGTCAAACCCTTCCACTCCATTTTGATACAATTTCTAAGTACTCACTAAAAAGGGGGGTGTTTTTTCTCCTTTCGAAAGAATTTGCAAAACGTATCGCACTGCTTTCAGCTCAGGCCC